AGATTCCTCTTTGATCGCAAAATTGACGTCGATTCTCCAGAAAAAGACGGTTTCTTCCCAAAAGGGCGGGTAGCGGAGCTTAGGGAGCATGAAATTCAGAGTCTTCGGGGTCGATTACCTGGAAAACCTTTTTTTCTGGGGAATCTACGTCAATTTTGCGACCAAAGAGGAATCTTGAGAAATTTTTGGAGGGGCGAAGCCTCCCTCCTCAGGGGGTTACTTTCTGCCGTTCAGGGGGGTCAATTAGAACTCTTGGGAATCACTTAAGTTGTAAATGTGTTCTGCTCCTCAATTTGGATGCAATCAATTTGCGGTTCGGAAAGGAGCCTCGATTTTTAAAATTGGGCCCCCCGTTTACCCCCCAAGGTGGAATAGAGGAGCTTCAGGACCATGAAATTTGGATTTCTTGGGGTCGATTACCTCGGAAACCATCTTTTTCTGGAGAATCTACGTCAATTTTGAGACCAAAGAGAAATTATGGAGGGGGGTACTGGCCCCCTCTTTAGGGAGTCATTTTTGGGCCTTGGATGGGCCGATGATGGATTTTTAGGGGTCAAATTCACGAGAAATTTTCCGTGCTTTTCAATTCTGATGCGATTAATCCGCAATTCGGTCGGGAACCGTGACTTTCAACATCGTGGCCCCTCAAAGGGGGGTAGGGGGATTTCGGGACCACGAAATTCGGATTCCTTGGGGTCAATTCCCTATAGAACCCCGCGATCCCCGACTTTGTACGACCTAAAACAACCGAGAAAAAGGCCTGGTACGGGTGGTCTGAAACACCCTGTATGGGCCTCTCCCACCATTTTACCCTTCAATACAGAAGAACTCGAAAATGTGCCCCACTGTTCCAATCTAGAATCTACCTTCCAATCTACCTTCCTTGAAATTTTTATCAAAAAGAAAACACTACAGGTCTCCAGAAGAATTAAAACTTTTTAAATAGAACCGTGGATACTTATCGGTACACACCAGCTACACGTGTTCAGCTTTCTTTGGATCTCGATCGTTCCACAGATAACTCAGCGATGTTTCACTAGCAGTGGAATTATAATGAATTCCAATTAAAACTTCTGTTGTTATATTAAAGATATTCCTTTTTTTTAAATCTTGGTCGAATGTTTTATAATATTGACGATCGAGTATTTGAGTCAATGCTAGACTCGACGATTCTTTTTGATATTTCAGCTCCAGTATTATAGCAGTATCTTCCTGTTGCTGGTCGTTTCTCACGACGTATAAACAGTCATATATTGATGTTGTTAATTCGGACCTTTTGTGGTTCTCAGATTTTCTTTGTTTTCTGGGGACGTTTTTCACCCGACCTCCGACATTTACATAAGAAATTTCCTTATATTGTGATGCCTCAGCCTGTAAAGCTCCGCACAAGGCACTCTGCATACTGGCTTCATTCGAAGGTTGGATTAGATTTAAGACAGCATTAATGGAATTTTTAAATCCGATAAATCTGCTCTTGTCGTTTTTCAAACTTTTAGCACTGATTGTGTAACTTTTAAAAACAGCTTCCGGGATGTTGAATTTTTTCAAGTAAAACTTTGTGGTGTATATTTTTTTCAAAAGTTGCTGTCTAACCTCCATGTTTGTGATTTTAACGTCAACGGTCGCTTCACCAAAGCGTTGTACAATTGTAAATATTCCTTCATCTACCAGTAATTGTAAGACTAAGTAGAAGGTGGGAGATTCATATTCTCTAAAAAATTTACGTTTAACATACTTTTTCAGCGTGAGAAAATCATATTTCTCAATTTTTTCTTTCATTCCAAAGCGAATATTTTTATCAATATGTTCAGCAAAATAGGAGCCCATTTGCTCAAACTCGAAAAAAGAATCAAAATAATGATTGAAGGGATTCCAGTATGACTTAAGTTTTCCTGAACGCAAAAAACTAATCACCGACTCCATGCAAAACATGGATGAGCCTTTATCTATTTTGAAGCCATCGTAATAATCTGTCATTAAGTCAATCTTATCTTCAACCGAAAATTTTTTGGTAAGATGTATGACTTCTTCCCGTGTAAATCCATAATAAGGGGCAAGTTGTGGTTCATCAAATATTCGGTAAAATTTTAAATTATTGATTTCATGAGTATACGTGCTCCCTACTCTGGTGATGCCAGTAAGGAGTGAACGCTCGACAATTCCTCTGCTAGATTTTACTAAACTCTTCAAAAAAGTGGTGAGAAATTGAATGATTTTATCAGCTTCTTTATTTTCAACATTGGTATTGAGCAAAGCTTGTACTATCGGCGTATCGTACTCATCTACGAGTAAAATGGCCCGTCTTCCGAAGTTTTTGTAGAGCAGGGTCGCCAATTCATATCCTGCGTTTGAAAGTTCCAATTCGGATAATTTGTGAGGGTCTATCGTATATTTTTTGTATATTCTCACAAGTTCAGAATCATTCGCGAATGCCGGCTTAGGAAAATCGTAACTACCGCGATTGAAAAAGTGCATATGTCCTTGTCTGTCATATTCTTTTTTGATTATGCTCGCAAATTTACCTAGAAAGTTATCGAACGACCCAGGAGCAATATCGAATACCAAAAGAATGACAGGAAATGCAGCAAAGTACTCTTTAAAGACTTCCTTATCCTGCCCAATGGCAAGTTTTTCAAAAACATTGCGCTTCGCAAGGTTGTTTCTGTTGGCTATGTGACCATTCTCGTCCGTTTCTATTTCGATGAAGGTCCGAATCATGTCCATATTCACCGTCTTCCCGAATCGCTTTGGTCCATGGAAAACTACATGCTCATCATTTCGGCGTCCGAAAAATACTTTAATCAGTTTCGTTTTGTCGACGAAATAATCCGAGCGTACCGCTGTCATAAATGATTCGGTGCCCAAATTGCCGCCTTGACTCAATTCTCCATGCTCCTCGTTGACACTAGCAACCTGCAACACGAGACAAAGATTGGACTAATTTTAAGAATGGATGCGGCATATTCTTCGAGAAACATGAATGTATCCAGGATCACATGCACAGTATTGGACAAATTGCAGGAGTGGAATATAAATGATATTAAACGGTTACTGTAACGATGGACGCAAGGGAAATTTGAATTTTTGGGGTGAATCGCTGCCAAAAGGTGATGCAAATCTTAAATTTCTGTATGCGTTGCCGAGCAGTGCAGAAAATTAAGGCATTGAAACCATTCAAGAATCATAGCATCAGTTGAATGAAGATCAAATACAGAACCATACGACCTAATAATTTAAGTTGTCATGCCTTTTCATAAGCTGAGAGACGCTGCCAAAGCCAAGTGGTAAAAACAGATTTTAACCATTAGGTTATAGACTTGCCAAGTTACGATCGGAAATCAAAATTGACTTATAAAAAAATAGCGAATTTGGAATGAAAGGCGATGAACGGCAACACCGTGGAATTTCCAAAAGAAATGCCTCGAGAGTGAATAGATAAACCAGGAAAAAAATACGTTGGCTTTAACATGCCAGTAGAGTGGCCCAATTTTGAATATGGGGGTGGTACACTG